TTATAGACGAGCGTCTTTCCATGTGCATACACCTTCTATCTGATTACAGACGAGAGCGTCTTTCCGTGTGCATACACCTTCTATCTGATTATAGATGAGAGCGTCTTTCTGTGTGGATACACCTTCTATCTGATTATAGATGAGCGTCTTTCCATGTGCATACACCTTCTAGACACTAGGAAGTGAAACCGTCAGGTCATAAGTCAACTTAGATGCCCTTTTGCTGCAGAGCAGTGAGGTTCAAACTTTTAAACAGGGTTTACCCAGATAGGCATCATTAGGTCCATGGCCCCAAAGACATCCTGCATTCGGCACAGGAACCAAAACATTATTAAGCTTAACTTGGATTCATGTGGCTCAAAGATCATCTCCATCTCAGGTCCAACTTTAATTCTAGCTGGTTTGATTCATGTGAGACAGGAAGCTTCACAGGAGGCAGGTTTCTAAATCCTAAGCAATTCCAAAGCAAAAAGCAATGGAAACAACCCCTGGGCACGGATTAAACGGTAGAAGGGAAGGTTGACAACAGGCTGCTAAGCAGCACCTGCACTCAACTCAGTCCTTAGAGACCCACAGACAAATGGAAGTTCAGAGGTATTGAATATGCTGGGTAGAAAAAACAGATGCTTCATAGTAAAAAGTGATGACAAAATTTTTTTTTTGCATTTTTTTTTTTTTTTTTTTTTGGCCAGGGCTGGGCTTGACCCTGCCACCCCTGGTATATGGGGCCAGTGCCCTACTCCTTGAGCCACAGGCACCGCCCTGTTATCACAAATTTTTAAACATTGCAAGAAGGAAATACCATCTCAAATGCCACTCTCCCCCAAAAAGGAGACAGTAGACATAAAGTGGATTTTGAGCCAAATGTAATAAATGTTTAGTGCCACCCTGTTGCCCTCGGTAGAGTGCTGTGGCATCACAATTCTTCTTAGACATACCAACCTCCTTCTAATAGCATTTCAAACTATGCCTTTGGTGAGGTTGAAGGTTAACTCTTTAAGCATTTGTAAAGTTCTTGAGTGCTTTTATTGAATTAATGGCAGATTCATTTCCATTGGGGCAGAGGAGAATAACAAAATAAATTTTAATATCCAAAATCGAGTTTATTAGCAACACATACAGACATATGAGTTCTAATACAGTGTTTGCTGAATTCTAATATAATATCTAAAACCAGAATGGACTGAACATTTTAAATAAATACAGATTCAACAATTCTTTTGTCTGAATGAATGAATTCAAAAAAATATCACACAGATGTTTCGCATTTGACCTTGTCTGCATGCTGTAGCTCATCTAGAACGTTTCGGATGTTCTCAATACAAACTTCTCCTCTGTGATGTTTTTTTGAGGCAAGATTCCACACATTTTCAAACTCTTCATCAGAAAGCGTGACACCAATGTTACGTAATATCTCTGCAATCTAGAAGAAAGCATTTAAGTCAAATTGAGATTTGTACGTTTTAAAATTTGGATTTCAAAATAATTTTATGGCTCAGCATCCATAGCTCAGTGAGTAGGGCGCCAGCCACATACACCAAAGCTGGCGAGTTCGAGCCCAGCCCAGGACTGCTAAAACAACAATGACAACTACAACCAAAAACTAGCTGGGCGTTGTGGGCGAGGCGCCTATAGTCACAGCTACTTGGGAGGCTGAGGCAAGAAAATCACTTAAGCCCAAGAGTTTGAGGTTGCTGTAAGCTGTGATACCACAGAACTCTACTAAGGGTGACATAGTGAGACTGTCTCAAAATAAATAAATAAATATAATTTTATATCTGAAATAAAAATAATTTTATAAAACTATGTATTTTTTTGAGACAGAGTCTCAAGCTATTGCCCTGGGTAGAGTGCTATGGCATCACAGCTCACAGCAACCTCAGACTCTTGGGCTTATGTGATTCTTTAGCCTCAGCCTCCCAGATAGCTGGGACTACAGGTGCCCACCACAATGCCTGGCTATTTTTTGGCTGTAGTTGTCATTGTTGTTTGGCAGGCCCAGGCTGGATTCCAACCCGCCAGCACCAGTGAGTGTGGCCGGCACCCTAGCTACTGAGCTACAGGTGCCCAGCCTATAAAACTGTATTTAATCCAAAAAAAGTATGTCTGCGTGTGTGCTTGTGCATGCATGTATAATCAGAAAATATTAAACTTTTAGTGCATTAAGCTCAAGAAACTATACTAGCCAATATATAAAAATTGCTTTCAAATCTAGCTATTTCTGATCACTTTAAAGAAAGCAGCAAGAAAGTGAAAAGAGTAAAAAATTAAAGATAGAAGACTTGTTATAACGATTTGAGTTCCATCTTAGTCACTTACTGTCATTATGATGTTGTGTGTGCCATGTAAGCCCCTTGAATATTAATTCTCTTTTTAAAAATACGAACATTTGGGCTGGGCACAGTGGCTCACACCTATAATCCTAGCACTATGAGAGCCAAGGAGGGAGGATTGCTTGAGTTCAAGAGTTCAAGACCAGCCTAAGCAAAGTAATACCCCGTCACTACAAAAAGAAAACTTAGCCAGGCGTCACAAGCACCTATAGTCCCAGCTTCTTGGGAGCCTGAGATAGGAGGATCACCTGAACTCAGCAGTGTGAGGTTGCTGTGAACTAGGCTGACACCACAGCACTCATCCCTGACAACGGAGTGAGACATTGTCCCAAAAAATAAATTAAAAAAACATAAAATAGGAACATTTGTAAAATGCATCTAATAAGCCTACTGCAAATTTTAACTACAGTTCTGGGTGTGCAGATGCCAGAGAGATATCATATCCATCAAGTGAATACACTAAAGCTGAATACTTTGAAATGCAAGAAACTTTGGCTACTGATTAGCTTCTGTAATGATAATCACTAAAACAGATGAAGGGAAGGGGAAAACACACTTCCTATGTCTCAGGAAAAGCATAAGACAGGAAAGTAAGTACTAGAGTGAAGAAAAGACAGCATAAGTAGAGGGAGGAAAAGATATAAAAATAAAATTTTAAAAAGAAACTAAGTGTAAAAGAAGAAAGAAACCGAACTGAAAAGAAGTGGTGCTTACTAAAAAGTATGGGGGGGAAAGAGAGAGAAATGAGACGTTAGTGAAAGGAAAACCAAAGAAATACAGTAGTTGCAGAATGCATTCATTAAACAGAATCTCAACAAAAATTAAACGATACCGGCTCGGCGCCTATAGCTCAACAGGCTAAGGCGCCAGCCACGTACACCTAAGGTGGCGGGTTCGAATCCCCAGCCCGGACCCGCCAAACAATGACGGCTGCAACCAAAAAATGGCCGGGCGTTGTGGCGGGCGCCTGTGGTCCCAGCTACTTGGGAGGTGGAGGCAGGAGACTCGCTTGAGCCCAGGAGTTGGAGGTTGCTGTGAGCTGTAATGCCATAGCACTCTGCCCAGGGGGACAGCTTGAGGCTCTGTCTCAAAAAAAAAAAAAAAAAAATTAAACGAACCCCAGAAATGCTGTGCCCTTGCGGGAAACTAGCAGGATAAACAAATACAAATCAAATTCTGAAACTCAGAAGAGCAGAGCTGCTAGCAACGGCAAAACACCTCAATGCCCCAGGGGTGGTAAAGAAAGTCCGGCAGGTCAACTCAGGCGTGGTCTCATCTAATCTTGAGCATCCCAGACTTCCTTCCCTGCTTCCTCCCCACTCCTCTGGAGCATCCCTCCCCTAGATCAGCATTCACATCAGTAGTGTTCCCGTTATTACTCCAACCTGGCCTTTGAGTTCTTTTTATCTAGAAAAGTGAGGAAAGAGATGACTTCCTAATTAAAAGAATTTTTAGGCATCACGAAACAAGCAGGAGATAGATTTTGTTTCTTTTGGCAACCCTGCAGTTCTGTTTCATAGGCCCTTTCGAGTGATTGAGGGAAGCGACAGCAGAGTCTGTGGATATCTCTTCTCTGACCTCCGGGAAGAATACTGGATTTCCCCTTCAGGGCCAGTCAGCAGGCATCATCCTCTGTCCCCTTCTTTTCTTCCCTGACTCAATAGAAATGAATTGTTGCAATGAATCTACCACTAATTAACTTAGTATTTAATAAGTTTTGAAACCATCAACCCTTCATCTGATGTGCCAGAAGGCTTCATAGGTCTCTTCCTATCATTTCTAGCTCTGGCTATGAAGGTTCAGAAGAAGCAGATGCTGCTGAATTATACACCTAACTTTGCATCAGCACAGATGCAAACAGGCTGGTCTGACTGAGCACAGCTATGGGTCCATGGCCCTCAGCACCCCAGTGGCTATTCTGACCTAGCTGGTTGCTTCTGCTCTATACCCCCTAGGAATGGGATCATCTGGGATGTGGGAACCACGTTGTATTAGTCAAAAAAAAAAAAAATATATATATATATATATTTATACTTCCTATATTTAGCAACAGGGCAGAATGCTTTAAATCAATGCTTGTCACAGATAATCTGAGTCACATAAGAGCAGTAGACAACAAGATGGACATGCTTACAAATAAAAATGTTTTCGATGTATCTGCTACTTAGGGTAGCAGAGTGAACCTCCTTGTGCTGCTTCTTTTTGATCCTGGAGGGCCAAGGTCTTAAGGATACTTACACAAAAAAGGGAGGACTTAATCCTTACTCCTTTCCTCAACTAAAAATAGTACTGAATGTTTCAGAGAAGGTTTTACAATATATGGGCCACAGTGAATACATAACATGAATGAAATTCTTCCTATCACAGCGTAATTTCCACGGTAAGAATTGTACTTTACAGAATGTCACAACCAAGTTAAATGTTATTCATCAAGAATCCTATATTTGGGGATTCTGTATACATTTGTGATGTAAAATAGCTTAAGTTTTGAAAAGTCACAGTAGTTATTGATAAGTAAACATGCCCATCTTTGCATGTTTACATGGGGAGTTTTTAAATAACAGGCTGTACCTCTTCTTTCGGTCTGGCCTTGAAGAAGTCTCTTTCAAACACTCCTTTCTGGGCAAAGATCGTAGGATGTAGTAAGGAATAAGCATTGCCATCTTCACCATAGTTAGTTCTATCACTGATGCGACGAATTCGGGGCACGGGAATATCAGATCGAATGGTTGGAACACCATAGGTGGGGTAATCTAGGGAGGTCATTGGTGAGGGAGGAAAACAAATATCGTAAAACTAAGCTGAGTAATACAATAGCCACCTGCCCTGTGCAGCTACTGAACCCTTATAAAGTGGAGAGTCTGAACTGCAAGGTAATCTAAATGTAAACTCCAAAGATTTTAGTACAAAGAAAGTTAGTAATTTTTATATTGATTTCTTATTTAAATAAAAATGTTTTTTCTATTTACCATTGAAATCAATTCCACCTATTTCTTTTTTATGTGACTTTTTTAATGTACTAGAAAAGTTTTAAATACATAAATGATTCCAAACATATTTCTATTAGACAGCTAAAGGAAATAGAAAGATTTCATTACAATAGACTATAAAGCAGATTTATAAAATTCACTTGAGAAAAACATGGAAATCCTTAATCATGCCCTAAATCCAAGGAAGTAACCTTGACCAACATAAAACAATCTTTATAAATAACCAATATTCATCATGCTCAATATTGACAGTGGGTATTATGGATTGAATCATTTCCTCTCAGAATTCATGTGTTGTACCTGAGAGTGGAACCTATTTGGAAATGAGGCCATTTCAGATGTAATTAATCACATTGAGGGTATACTGGAGTATGGTCGGTCCCTAATCCAGTGGGTTGGAGTCTTATAGAAAGGAGAAATATAGGCACATATATGTACACATGGCTGCCATATGCAAAGTCAGAGATCAGGCTGGGCCTGGTATCTCATGCATGTAATACCAGCATTTTGGAAGGCCACGCAGGAGGCTCACTTGAGGCCAGGAGTTCAACACCATGCAGGGGAACATGGTAAAACCCTGTCTCCACAAAAATAAAAATTAAAAGATAACCAGGTGTGGTGATGCATGCCTGTAGTCCTAGCTACTTAGGAGGCTGAATCAGGAGCATCACTTTAGCCCAGGAGTTCAAGGCTGTGGTGAGCTTTGATTGTGCCACTGCACCCTGGCCAGGATAAAAAGTAAAACCCTATCACTTTAAAAAAAATAAAATGGCCTGGTATGGTGGCTCATGCCTGTAATCCTAGCACTCTGGAAGGCCAAGGCAGGTGGACTGCTTGAGCTCAAGGGTTCAAAACCAGCCAGAACAAGAGCACGTCCTCATCTCTACTAAAAACAGAAAAACTAGCCAGGCATGGTGGCACACAGTTGTAGTTCCAACTACTCAGGAGGCTGAGGCAAGAGGATCTCTTGGGCTCAAGATTCTGAGGTTTCTTTGAACTCTGATGATGCCCTGGCATTCTATTAAGAGCAGCACAGTAAAATTCTATCTCGGAAAAGAAATTTCAGAAGGATGAAGTCAGTGTGATACATCAGAAGCCAAGTAATACCAAAGATTGTCATTAAACCATCCCGATCTAGGAGAGAGGCATAGACAGATTCTCCTTCCCAAGCCATAAGGAGGAACAACCCTGCTGGCAATTTGCTCTCTAAGAACTATGAGACAGTAAAATCCTGCTACAACACCCGTCTGTGGCACTTTATTGCAGCAGCCTTAGCAAACTAATCATGAGGAATTGATATGTAGAGAAATTTTTTTGTAAAAGCTCTTCAAATATTTGAAGGGAGATACGTATGGAGCTAGGAATCACCTGGTTTTAAAGTTTCCTAATATTTGCTGAAGTCTGTTATTACAATGTGTAACATTCAATGTTCTTATCTATAACAGTCTCAATGTCATTAACACAGAAAGAATCATTTTATTGGGTCATCATCGGCAACAGTTCAGTTCAGCCAACATTTATATGTAATCCCTAACCTCAGGTGCTTAGGATACAGAATTAAATGAAAGATCCAAGGCTTCGGAGAACTTAGTCTAATGGACAGAGGCAGGGGACAACATAAGGACAGACCAAGGACACGTCACTTCCAGGTTTGCTAATCCTTTTAAAATTCAGCGCATAATGTGACATACTCACAAGGAGAAGGAATGGCCCCCACAACTGCATTGATCTCAGAAGAACTTGTCTTATAATGGTTAGAAACGTTATCACTTGGTCTCCGAAGTGTCCGGACAGTCTTTTCTGAGCTCCCTGGTTCTTTGAAGACAATATCTTCAGGTTTTATTAGGAGAGTTGGTTCTGATTCTTCAACAGGAGCCTCACCAGGGTTTGCACAATCAGGTTTTCTACCTTTAAGAAAAAGAAAAAAAAACAAAAAGTACAGGAAAACATGACTATTTGGTGCTTGAGGTTCTGCAACAAGATGAGTTCACCCATTTAGTTGCTTCTTGCTAACGGAAACTGAGCTGGTGTGAACCTTCCATAGACACCAACACCCAAGTACAGAATGCCAAGTTCAGACCCATGGAACATACCAGGAAATCTGAACATGGCTTAATGCTTCTTGTTGCCTCTCACTAGAGAATAGAGCTTTCAAATTTGAGAGACAAAACATAAAACACAGAAAACAATCTCTTCTTTTTTTTTTGAATCGGAACTTATTTGCACATTTAACTTGAACTAAAGAATTGTTCCTAGCACTGTCCTAGGGACGGGTAGAAGACTAATTTGGAGGTGAAAATTCCACACATACTTGCTGGTGGGGTGAAGAGGGAGCATCTATTACAAAATCCAGAGAGGTGATGAGAACTCACTGTGAGCTCAGGAACTGGTTATATAACTACCCCCCTAAAAGTCAGTGTATAAAAGAAAACCCTGAGATAGAAAAGAAACTGTGAGACTCTGTTCTTTTTGTAGATTTGCTTTGCTGAGTCAATTATGAAATTGAGGAGTCAATTCCTCAGAGAGGTTTCTCAAAGATCTGGTTACTCCAGAAATACCACTAGAGGGTGCTGTGGTGTTTCACGCTTCAGAAGATCTCTAAAGGTTTGGGGGAAACCCAGGCAAGAGTAACCAAGGCAAGTGCTGCCCCAGTTTGAGAGAAGGCTGGGAACTGTGTCAAACCAGGAAAGATAGGCCTTCTAAAGTACCCGGCCTCTTCCTCACTCAGTTCCTGACAGTCGTTGCCATGAAAATGCTCCAGCCCAGCACCAAATCCTCTAATCCCGCCCTACACGCCAAAGTAGAAATCTGGACAAAGTTTGAAAAATAGTTTCTCAGAAAATTGAAAGAGTACTCCCCTCCTTTCCTCCAAAAGTCAACAGTAAGATAAAATTTGATATAAGAAAGTTCCTGGCAAAACATTCTTGGGCCTCTGTTAGATGTACTGGCCACTAATTGCAGTTTCTACCCTAAAAATCTTAGAAGATAAAAAATCCTCAAGAACTCTATTAAAAATGGCTAATAAAGGCTCAGTGCCTGTAGCTCAGCAGCTAGGGCCCCAGCCACATACACCAGAGCAGGTGGATTCGAACCCGGCCCAGGCCTGCCAAACAGCAATAACAACTGCAACAAAAAAAATAGCCAGGCATTGTGGTGGGTGCCTGTAGTCCCAGCTACTTAGGAGGCTGAGGCAAGAGAATCGCTTAAGCCCAAGAGTTTGAGGTTGCTGTGAGCTGTGACGCCACAGCACTCTACCGAGGATGACATACACTCTGTCTCAAAAATAAATAAATAAATAAATAAGAAAGAAAACGGCTGATAAAGTCAGGTCCAAAAACAAGGAACAATTTGAAGAACTGATCTTAAAATAAGCTACTGCCCCCTCTCCTCCCATCCCCAATATTTCATGAATTGTGCCCAAAAGGAAAAATCTCTGTCATTTTATCTTTGTTTCTGAAAGGGTTGGGGTTGAGTTGTTTTCTATAAAAATCTTCATTGGGTAGAGAAGACACTAAAGCTTTCCTAGTGGATAGAATAGAAAAGCTGTCCCAGACATGCTGAATAAGGCATAACACCACCAAATAAAGACCACAGTGTGATTTTGACCTTTTAGAAAGGCATGACCAGGGTGGCGCCGGTAGCTCCATCGGCAAGGGCACAGGCCACATACACCTAGGGTGGCGGGTTTGAACCCAGCCCAGGTCTGCTAAACAACAATGACAACTGCAACCAAAAAGAATAGCCAGGCATTGCGGTGGGCGCCTGTAGTCCCAGTTACTTGAGAGACTGCAGCAAGAGACTTGCTTAAGCCCAAGAGTTGGAGGTTGCTGTGAGCGTGATGCCATGGCACTCTACCCAGGGCAACAGCCTGAGACTCTGTCTCAAAAAAAGAAAGAAAAGAGAAAAAGAGAAAAGAAAGGCATGACCCAGAATTAAAAGTAAAAACAGTACTATCTTCCCTTTATAGAGGAGAGACATTCCAAGAGGAAATAAAAAAATGTAAACAATCTTTTTTAAAAATTGATCCTCAAATAATCAAGGTACAACAATTAAAGCAAATAAGGTATCATTATATACCACTTAAATTATAAGGATGTTTAAAATAACACCCACTGGTAGCCAAGGTTGGAATAAAACTTTCTCATAGCTTGGCTGATAAAGTTGTGAACTGGTACAATCGTTTAGAAAAGAAAATGAAAAATAGTTACTTCTGGGACAATGATAACATTCATATTAAGTGAGATATAATTAAAAACAAAATTCTTTTTTGAGAGATGACAATCATTACAGCATTCCCCATACCACCTTAAAAATATCTGGAAACAATCTAAATTTCAAAGAGTGAAGAAACGGTTTCTAAATCATAAGATCTTAGTATAGGAGAACTGAAAACGTAGTTCATAGGAACCACAAAATTTATCTCTTCATTCCTTAGAAACTGGAAAGCCAAATTTTAAAAAACCAAATAAAAATATGTTCCATTATTTTAAACATGTTTAAAATGTAGACATACACACATATGTATATCTGCCTATCTATATGTGGTAAATATATATAGTAGATATAAAAATATTTGAATCAAAAGTAAAGATAGTGGTGTTTTCCTTTTTGTGCAATTTTTTTTTCTTTTTCTGAGACAGGGTCTTGTTCTGTCACCCAGGCTTCAGTGCACTGGTATGATCACAGCTCACTGCAACCTCGAACTTGGAGGCTCAAGCCATCCTCCTGCCTCAGCTTCCCAAGGAACTGGAACCACTGCACCATCATGCCTGGATAATTTTTGTATTTTTGATAGAGACAGGCTATCTTTACCAAAGATAGAGGTAGAGACAGGTATCACTTTGGTACCTGGACTGGTCCCGAATGAAATCCTGGCCTCAAGTGATCACCCCACCTCTGATTCCTAAGATGCTAAGGCCTTCTTTTTGTATAAAATTTTTAAAATCAAATATTCGTGAGGGGGCTAATTACTCATATAATGGTTCAAACAGCTTTCTGAAGAAATATCTTTCATATTTTCAGCTTCTTTGTAAATATTCTTTGCTTTTAATTTCTTGGAATGGATAATGCATGATTCCAAACTCAAAAGATACCAAAGCACAGATTAAAAGGAAGTCTGGCGGCCACCCTCTCTCTCAGCCACTCAGTTGCTTCTCTCTAGAAATAAGAATATCATCAGATTCTTTCCTATCCTTCCACAGATAGTCTATGCATAAACAAGCAAATTAATTATTACATATGTATTTGCATTTTTTAAATCTAATATTAACATTTGCCAGAATTGGGCACTCCTAGAAAATATAAAAGTCCATTTAAGAACTTAGCAAAGCTTTAAAAATGCAATACCTTTAATAACGACCCTCTCTTCATACTCTTTAAGAAGTACTTTGTCTTTCCAGTTAAGAAAATTTGCAAATTCTAGATAGTTAATCAGGCCATCATTATCGACATCACAGTAGGCAAATAGGTTGTCCAGGAGCTTCTCGTCTAAACGCAAGTTGGCCTGCTCACAAGCTTCCTGCAGCTCAGCTTTATCTATCATCCCATCACCCTTCTGTTAGACACGAAGCAAGACAAGATGCAATGAGCATTGTGTTTAAGAGCAGAGAAGACAACATCTATTATTTAGTTTCAGAAAAAAGAAATCGCTCCATCACACAAATTCAAAGAACATGTCTGAATTTTCACATGAGTCATCAAATATTAAGTGAGATTGATCCTCATTGTGTCAACCTGAGATGCACATACAGTATTTTCAAACACTGGTTGAAAAGGGGTGTGTGTGCCTCAGAGTCTCTGTTCACTCCGTATTAATTATTTTCTTTCAGTCCTGCTGTTTACCCTGTGCTAGAGCAGCTATACCCTTGATATAGGTTTGCTATTTCATTTGACCAATCTTGTGTACTTTTGACAGTGCTCTGCAATTTTCCATGCTTATAAAGTTTTCAACACCCTGTATGTTTCAACTGGCCAATAAATGGTCCTTCACTTCATTGCCTGTTAATGAGAAGAAATTGGAGAAGTTAGTTGCAGGACAAGTAGAGAGAGGCGGATTCAAAGACAGTTGCTTGGTTTTGTAACACACCTATGGGCAAGGGAGACATGCTACAACTCTGATGATCAGCCTGACTGTGACAAGCGGCACTAAGATGCATCCTGCCTGGGGAATAAGCGGGAAAGTCTCATTTCCTCTGAAATAACAGTTAAAGACAGAAATGCCTGCACTGAGTGTGAACAGAGGGACATTTTTAAGGGCTTTGAGTGGCAACTTTGGCTGATTCACTTAACAGGACAGAACATTTAATGCTTGTTGAAAAGAAAGTACAACAGCTGAGGCATCTTACACTCTGCCCCTCTTGCAGTCTAATGAGCCAAACTGATCCATTCAAAAATGATAATAAAGGTCTGAATTTGTTTGCTTTTGTAATGGATCCTGACTGCTGCACTGAAACTGTGACCCCCGCAGAGAGATTTCCCTGATAGGGAAAAACTCCCCAGAGAAACCACCCATGAGTCAGTGAGCAGCAGCACTCAGGCTCTCTCTGCTCAGGATTAGATTTACGCTTCTCCTGGAGGTGATCCCCTGGAGAATGAGAAACTAACCCAATGAATTCTACATAAATTCTTGCAGTCAGACCTGCAGCTCTGGGAAAGTTCCCTAACCCTGTGTTCAAACAGGACAAGAACTTAAAACATAGGCTCTTGACAATGGAGCTGCAAATGCCTTTTGAAAAGTAGCTCATATGCTGTTACTGAGCTCTTACTGAAACTGAATGCTAGATCCATGGAGACCTTGGGACTCTCCAGCCCGACAATCACATCGAGGTGGGCCAACTTGGACTCAATGACTAACAAAAGGACCAAACAAGGCTCATTTGTGAAATGGAAATGGCATATTCCAGAATGCAGCTAACCTGGCCCCAGGAACACCTCAGCTTTAAATGAAAAGGGGTAGCTATGCCTTTTCATTTAAAGCTGAAAAAATTGATTCAATACTTCACCAGAGAAAAAATGTATTAGAGAAAAACTTTATTAGAGAAAAAATTTATTCAATACTTCACCACAGGAAGCAAAGCCACTGGCTCCAGAGGACCCTCAATTCATGGGGGCTCCTGTAAACACCTGGGCCCCGTTCACTGACAGTCTGGCTGAGCTGAAACCCAGTAGTCTTCACTAGGCTATCGTGACTTTCAAACTCCCTGTGAAAGGGAGGCACTCGACCGGCAGAGAGCTCACAGACCACCAAGGCTGGTACGAAAGGCAATTATCTACCACCGTGTGTGATATGAAACACCAAAAACGTATGTAGTCGGTCTGCTAGGTGGGCACAACCACAGGCCATCCTCATGGCTTTGGCCAATACTCCCTTTGATAAACCTGTTACAATTTTACAGACTCTGACCAATGGCCTACCTGTTTGGTGTGCCACTTGGAAAACTGCAGACAAGCATGATAAAGACACCCTGTTTGGGGACAGCGAATCATGGAAACAAATTATGGTTGCTGATTGAACCAACCATCTGGCCCATTCTCTGATGGGAATGATTGGAGTCAGGCTGCTGATGGAGGTTGGACCATCCAGACTGCCACCACTGCCACCTGGACAGTCACTGGACCAAATGTGGCAACACAGCCACCGTTGTGCACAGGGCATAGAGGAAAGGTCTCTGTGCCTCTATGCAGAAGATACTACTGCATGCCTAACTTGTGACTGTCGCCAGAATTTGACCAGTTCATCTCACGGTGAGGAGTACATGGTACACATAGGGACGTCCCCTGTGCTCCTGACAGACTGACTACATTGCACTTTTCACTCCCTCTCAAAGCTGTTGGCGTGTCCCCAAGGTTATCACTTTTCAAGCTATGGAATTGCTGTTCCAGTCCAATCATCTGGCCCCAGTCATAAGTAAGGTCCATGAAATTAATTTGAGTTATGTATTTTGCTTTCTGGACTATTTTTAATCTGATGATGATGCATCTCATAACACAAAAGCTACTCAATAATGAGCCATTAGTCAAGGTATTCAATGAACCTTTCTCACTTCCTACCACTCATTGCCATATGGTATTACTTAGCATCAAAATGGTCTCTCAAAAATCATATGCTTTCCTCACCAGCACCTTAGTAAATCAGTTTGGTCTTTCAATGAAGTTGTCCCAAGAAAGGCATCATTCCATCTCAGCTGCTTTCCAGATAATAATCAGAATAAAAAGACTAGAGGTTATGAAAACCTATTTTGAAAATTCAAGGCCAGGCATGGTGGTTCATGCCTATAATTCCAGAACTTTGGGAGGCTGAAGTGAGAGAATCACTTGAACCCAAGAGTTCGATATTAACCTAGGCAACACAGTGAGATCATGTTTCTACAAAAAAGTTTTAAAATAAAAAAACTAGCCGGTACAGTGGTGCACACCTATAGTTAGTTCTAGCTACTAAAAAGGTTAAGGCAGGAGAATCATTGAGCCTGGGAGTTTGAGGCTCAGTGAGGCCACTGCACTTGAGCCTGGATGACAGAGCAAGACATTGTCTCAAAAAAAAGGTGGGGGGGCTTGTTGCCTATAGCTCAGCAGTTAAGGTACCAGCCACATATAGCTGGGGCTGGAGGGTTTGAACCCGCCCCGGGCCTGCCAAACAACAATGACAACTACAACAAGAAAAACAGCCAGGTGGTTGTGGTGGGCGCCTGTAGTCCCAGCTACCGGGGAGGCTGAGGCAAGAGAATTGCTTAAGCCCAAGAGTTTGAAGTTGCTGTGAGCTATGATACTACGGCACTCTACCAAGGGCAACCTAGTGAAACTCTGTCTCAAAAAAAAAGAAAAAAAGAAAATTTGGCTTCCATGACTATTCCCAGAAATAACGCATCTTTTTTCCCCTAACAGCAACCTAGGCCAGCACAATTGGTCCACGCTCATGGGTAGCAACTAGGCACAAAAAGGATTCTTTTTTTTTTTTTTTTTTTTTTTTGAGATGGAGCCTCAAGCTATCCCCCAGGGTAGAGTGCCATGGCATCACGCTCACAGCAACCTCCAACTCCTGGGCTCAAGTGAGTCTCCTGCCTCAGCCTCCCAAGTAGCTGGGACTACAGGCGCCCGCCACAACGCCTGGCCATTTTTTTTTGGTTGCAGCCATCGTTGTTTGGCGGGCCTGGGCTGGGGATTCGAACCCACCACCTTAGGTGTATGTGGCTGGCGCCTTAGCCACTTGAGCCACAGGTGCCGAGCCCACAAAAAGGATTCTAGAGGATTCAAATTTAATTCTATTTCAGCCACCCCAGTTCCCTTATTGGGGTGACATGGTTCCAGATTTAATAACTACTTGGTTGAGTACTGCTCCACTACTGCTCCCCCAACTCCTCCTATAGTAGCCGAAGTAGAGAATAAAATAGGTCTCTGGAACTTTTCTAACAATTCCTTTGTTCCTCTTACACCTGAGCTTTCAGACACAAGGTGTGGATGAAAATAGTAGGTGACTGGGGAAACGGTTAAGTTATACCCCTGGAATACAACACTCTGACTTTGTGGCAGTGAAGAAGAGCAGCAAAGAAGCTCTTCAGGAGACAACATTATTTTCCTGGGATGGTCAGGGGAAGGAGGGACATGATGGCATTTTGTCTTTGAGTCTGCCCCTGAACACTGCATCAGGGAGGAAAGTGCCCCAGGCAGCTCTCCCAAACTGCTGAAGGCACCTTCAGTTTAACTGACTGAGAGGCAGTTCTGACCCCACAGTTTGAATGCCATTCTCATCGCTGTTACCTAGGAATCTATAAAACAGCAGACAGTGACCCTAGTGATTGCACCTCCCACACGGAACACCTAGGGATGGCTTCCCACCTTTGTTTTCAGTCATTTGCATGGGAGGAGCAAATACATTAGCTGGTTGTGTGGACAAAGAGGAGGGACTGACTGCGTTGGCACAGCCCCTCCAAAAACAAGGACTAGATATAATTACTGAACTTAACGAGAATCCTAAGACCTTGAGCAAAATTTATTTAGGAAACTGTTCTAGTTTTAAGTTAACAATATTTACAGACTGCCAACAAATATGCTCCTTAAGTGAGCACAAATTACTGAGTTCTACACATGCTTAATTAGGCAATTAATTAAAAGAGAAAATCATCAGCTGACTTACATTACTAAGAACATCTGTCATGATAGCTGAGAGCCAAAAGCCTTGGTTGCCGCTCTGAGTTTATCACAGCACTTAGCCTTTACTCTACCCCGGGTGTGTGTGGGGGTGGGGGGTTATGCTGTAGACCTTTAACAACTGGCTGTGGGCAGTGTGGCGGCTGCCCTAATCTGTAGCCATTGCTGCTTTCCATGGTATAAATGCTCTGATCGTGGACAATTTCTAGCTACCATTATAATGTGAACTGACTCACGCTTCTTGAAAATTCAACAGTAGGCTCTCTCCAGCTAGCTCCAATGTACCACTGCTACTGCAATTTATGTGTAACTCCTCTAGATTTTAAGTTCCCTAAGTAGAAGGTTGACACATTATCTGGAATAATGCTTGATATGTTATAAGTGTTCAATAAATAACAGAATTACTTTTATAAGCCAAGGAGATTCATTTAGGAAATCATAGTTTATTTGCTCTGTTTTATTTTGTTCTTCCATTAAATTAAATCTGGGCATTCAATAATGTAAGATTCAAATAATCAAAAATTATGCGACAGCTGTACTAGACCCACATCTTATTACCTTCGCAGAAAAAAAGCTCCTTAAGGACACTGATCACTACATTATGCATATTAAAAGTTAACCATTTAAAAGGTAGACCAGCATTAAGTAATTCTCAGTAATTTTCTCCCTGTTTAATTTAATTTTCTTATAAGGAATGTGCCTCGTGGTTTACTTAGATAAACAGCAGCTATTAAGATGATCATCTCCCCTACAATTACATTTAAAATGAAGAGTTTTTAGAAGCAGAGCACTATGTATTATGGTAGGTTCTCTTATTTCATGTCACTACTATGTAAATTTCTCCAAAAACCACCTTTCTGAGATGCCCAGTATCTAGTAAACTTTAAAGTATGCTTATTTTAACTCATGTATTTTAATACTGAAGAATAATTTTGAAATTATATGTAAATACCAATTGGTCTCTATTAAAAGCGGGACAAATATATGACTATTTACATTTTCTTTAAACACAATTTGTGGGAAAGGTATTTGACTGCTTTGTAGACGTCTGGCCCGACATGATTAGTACACATTTAAATGAGATATTTAACTGACTTTTTATTCCTTAGTGTGCAGGTATACAGGCCCCTGAAAACAAACAAAATAACCAGACACCACACATGGCAGCTGATGCCTGTAATCCCAGCACTCTAGGAGACCGAGGCAGGAGGATCACTTATGTCCAGGAGTGAAATGAGCTATGATGATGCCACTGCACTCTAATACAGGCAAAAGAGTAAGCTCTGTCTCGAATAAGAAACTAAAATGACTGGGCTTAAGATGAATTAGCCAATGAGTAATTGAGATTTTTTTTTAAATGTGAACTACAACTTCTCTAAAACTGTACTCAGCGTTGAAAGGGTAATAGAAATATTTCTCTTTTCCTTTTGAGGTTGACGAAAATTATTCTGCTCCCTTTTTTCTTATATCAAGATTGTGATATACCACATCATCACATTTTTTTTTGAGACAGAGCCTCAAGCTATTGCCCTAGGTAGAGTGCTGTGGCATCACAGCTCACAGCAACCTCCAGCTCCTGGGCTCAAGCGATTCTCCTACCTCTGCCTCCCAGGTAGCTGGGACTACAGGCACCCACCACGACGCCCGGCTATTTTTTTGTTTGCAGCTGTCATTGTTGTTTGGCGGGCCGGGCTGGATTCAAACCCACCAGCTCAGGTGTATGTGGCTGGTGCCTTGGCCGCTTGAGCCACCGGCACCGGGCCTCATCATCACATTTTTATTTACGAGTTTGTAATTGTTTGTATTAGGCTCATCCTAAAATAGTTTTGAGACTGCCTAGAAAAATAGATATACTTAAGGCAAAAAGGGCAGAAAAAGCAAAGAGAGAATACAAATGGAAAAAAAGAAACTCGGAATAAAAAAAGCACAGGAAATGTATCCTATAAGATCATCTTCACAATCTAAATGCGTTCGGTTGAACTGACTCTGAGCTTCCTGACAACCAAGGCAAAAAAAGGTCTGCACAACCGATACAAAATTCATGTTCTCCATGAGATAAAAAACAAACCAGATACTTAGATGAAGTACAGTTATTTCTCTCAGTAAAGCTGAGTTTCTAATAAAGAGGATGCATGTAACAAAAATTAAAATCTCGTGAGTATGCTAATAAAAAAGTGCTGTATTTCAATGGCAGTTTCTTAGAGGTGGTGTATCTTGATAAAAAGCAATTCTGGGCTCAGCACCTGTGGCTCAAGTGGCTAAGGTGCCAGCCACATACATCTAAGGTGGCAGGTTCGAATCCAGCCTGGGCCGGCCAAACAACAATGATGGCTACAACCAAAAAAAAATAGCTGGGCATTGTGGCAGGCGCTTGTGGTCCCAGCAACTTGGGAGGTGGAGGCAGGAGACTTGTTTGAGCCCAGGAGTTGGAGGTTGCTGTGAGCTATGCCGTGGCACTCTTCCCAAGGGGGATAGCTTGAGGCTCTGTCTCAAAAAAAAAAGCAATTCTGTGATAGCCTACAAGGGTGTCAAACCTTTTTTTTCTTTTCTGCTACACGTTGATAGAATAACAGTTGGCTCAACCGGCTAAGGCGCCAGCCACATACACCTAAGGTGGCGGGTTCGAATCCCCAGCCCGGACCCGCCAAACAACAATGACGGCTGCAACCAAAAAATAGCCGGGCGTTGTGGCGGGCGCCTGTGGTCCCAGCTACTTGGGAGGCGGAGGCAGGAGACTCGCTTGAGCCCAGGAGTTGGAGGTTGCTGTGAGCTGTAATGCCACAGCACTCTACCCAGGGGGACAGCTTGAAGCTCTGTCTCCAAAAAAAAAAAAAGAAAGAATAACAGTTGACTTGGGCCACACACTGAATACACAAATACTAATGAAAGCTGATAAGCAAAAGAAAAGGTCCATGTATATGAGGTCAGAAAATTAAGTTCAGAAACTCATCCTAGAAAAAGTGCTACACACCTCATTGCTGAGTATCACTATGACATGCAGCAACATGGTATGTAGCACTTTTTCTAGAATAAATTGTGAACTCAACTGTCTGACCTGGTACTTTTCACAACACCTGACACACCAAATAAGCAAAACAGTCCTCAAATAATCTGCATTCGGCCCTCAGGCTGCAGTTTGGACACCCCTGGAAATGACATGAAAGAATTAAGTAGCCCTAGATCAATCTGATTTTATCAAAGCCTGAAATTTGAATGATCTTACACTTGTAAAACTAAAACCACACCTTGCAACCCAGAGGAAAAACGTTCTAAACTTACCTGGGACCTTGAATGAAGGTACTATGTGTACATATTCAGATTTAGACACAGATTGTTGCCTCTTTTTCCTGCCCCCTCCCCCTTGCTTCTAGCACACTGCATTTTAACAATCCACAGCAGTGGTTCTTGAATGTGCATCAGAATCATCTGGAGTGCTTGTTAAAATTGCTGGGCTCCATCCCAGAATTCCTAACTCAGTGCATCTCAGGGTGGGCCCTGAAATGTGCATTTCTAACAAGTTCCCAGTTGGGATATATAAGCCCATGCATTAGTAAAAAGCTCTGTTCTACTACTGGCCTTGTCATAGTGCTTGAAGGCTGCCAACAAACTGTCAAAGTTTTGGTAGTTAACTTTCTTCAAGTGATGTCGAACTGCTGCAATCAAGGCTCGCTCTCTGTCCTTGCCTCGCAGATATTCACCCGGAAGTCTATTATGGATGAGATCACCAACTCCTATTGAGAGAAACAAAGTTTCACACGAATTTAAAGTTTATCAATATTGTTTCTATCTTTTTTATTTTTTGAGACAGAGTCTCATTATGTCACCCTCATTAGAGTACTATGGCGTCACAGCTCACAGCAACCTCAAACTCAAACTCTTGGGCCTAAGCCATTCTCTTGCCTCAGCCTCCCAAGTAGCTGGGACTATAGGCACCCACCACAATGCCTAGCTTTTTTTTTGTTGTTGTAGTTGTCATTGTTGTTTGGCAGGCCCAGGCTGGGTTCCAACCAGCCAGCTTCAGTGTATGTGGCTGGTGCCCTAGCCACTGAGCTACAGGCACCAAGCCTGTTTCTATCTTTTAATGGAGCGATCTCATTTTGGCACCTATAGCACAGTGGTTAGGGCACCAGCCACATACACCAAGGCTGGTGGTTTGAATCACGCCAGGGCCAACCGGGCAACAATGACAACTATAACAAAAAATAGCCAGGCATTGCAGCAGGCACCTATAGTCGCAGCTTCTTGGGAGGCTGAGGCAAGAGAATCGCTTAAACCCAAGAGTTAGAGGTTGCTATGAGCTGTGATGCCACATCACTCTACTGAGGGTGACATAGTGAAACTCAAAAAAATAATTTTTTTTAAATAAAGAAAAGAAGTGATCTAGCAACCTTTGTGAATGGGGAAAAAAACCATTTAACTCTGATACTATTATGTACTACATCAGAAAATCTTCACATATAAAAAAGTGTATCATGTAATTGATAAAAACTAATATTACTGTTTTATGTCAGTGGAAAAAAATCTTAAAAAATGAACTTCCTGTGGGCATGACAGCCTTTCCTGGCTATCAAGTCTTTTCCTAAGACGATGAAGCCCTGGCCTCACTATCCCTTTGGCAACATTTGTCTACAATGCTGAGGATCTGAAAGCTGGGGCTGATTCTGATCAGTGCAGAGTTGACAGAACCTCAGAGAGAGCCTTGTAAAAATTAAAGTCAAACTCTCTACTCCTTCTAATACAAATTTCCAGTTGGCCTTTAGTCTGTACGTACCTCTTGTTTCTCAGCCCTGCTTCCCTCGTGCCACTTCTGGCACTGCAGGCCTGCCTGTATCCGTAGCTCCATCAGTTAATGGGCTCTAAGTTAGAGTCCACGAACACAACTAGGACTGTGCTGCTCAGATGTGTTGCCAGGGTGGATGTTACCAGAGGAGATCATCTTCCTCTGTGCATTTTCCTCTGGCCTACATACCCCTTCTTCCTGCCAGGACTCTCAGCTTTCTTGGAGAAAGGTCATGCTAGCAGTTGGCTGTGATTCCTTGGATGGACTGATTTGAATTGCAACATTGGTTACAGTTCAAGGCAACTAATATTTACACCTACTCTGAATAAGACATGTCACTAGGCTCTGTCAAGGATCTCTTAATAGATACTCATAGCACCTCTAAGTTCTCTTATTTATTATAAAATCAGGAGCTAATCATACACAGGCTAAGAAAAAATCTTGTTTCTGAGGACAGACCCTGAATATGCGTGACGAACCTAAAACTAATCTGGTTCCAGGGACAGGGCAAGTGCCTCAGAGCAAGGGCATCAAATGGGGTCAGCTAATGTCAGACCACCCAAAGGCAGGACACAAGACAGACTCTGGGAGTGGAATTCAAAACTGCTAAGGATGATTTTTGACAAATAAGCATGACCTCTCTTTTTCTCCTCCTTCAGATATAAACTCTTTGTGTGGCTATTTTATGTAAAGAAGGTCTTCCTTATTCATGGAGATAGCTTTTTCTGTCTTTGCAGGCATCCTCAAACTACGGCCCATGGGCCACATGCAGCCTTCCGAGGACATTTATCCAGCCTGCTGGGTATTTTTGCTGCTGCTGCCTGTCCTGCTTAGCAGCTGACTCATCCGCGGCCCACAGTCCGGCCCTCCAACGGTCTGAGGGACAGTGAACTGGCCCCCTGTTTAAAATGTTTGAGGATCCCTGCTTTAGAGGCCTCTCTTCTCCATTAATCTCCCAAAATAATCAGTTGAATGGTTGGGTTTTTTAAATTCTATATGGTTGTCCCACCAGAACTTCTCCAGGTTTACCTGCCTGGTAGGTAGGTGAGACCTATTTCCATACCTTTCTCTGGCCTAGCTCTGAGAGAATATTTATAAAGCTGATATCAAATTACTTGAAAATACTCAAGAGCCATTTCAAAAGAGCTCAAATCAGGAGTATAAGTTCTGGTCCTAAGAGAGACCCAAGACCTAGCTACCACACCATGGCAGTTAGATAAATGGAGTGGGCTCCACAATTATACTCTGCCTGCAACCAGTTCCTATGATGCACCACTGTCCACCTGTCCTGGATTCTCTTTCACTTTGCCTCTGCCCTGGGACGTTCTGGGAGCTGGGCACAGATCTTTCACTCTTCCTGGAGGCATCTTAATGCCATCAGAAACTCCAGACCCTAGGGATGTGGTGTTTCTTGTGAGCTGCCTTTATTTCCCTTGGTAAGGATAAGAAAGAAATTCAGGCCCAATATGTCCATAGGAAGTAGGCAAACTCTAAAGTTTCCCATAGAATAGATGCCATTAGTTGACATAGCATCTATGAAGGGCCAGAACTCAAGAGTTGAGTCCATCCATGAATTTCAAAAATAGTTCAGAGAAGACTTAGATTCCCCTTTCACAGTGATATAATACAGCACCAAGGCCTACACGTATTAAAATTTTAAAAAATACCAATGTCAGTGTCCTTTCTTTTCATTTTATGAGGCTTTTCACTTAATATTCACTATATAAAGAAGTCGTCAATCAACTATCAAGAAATTTGTCAATGTTGCTAAATTGTCAGAATGAAAAACTGTGCATTGAACTCAATTCATGCTATAAACATTGGTGAAAAAATGTACCGTGTATTGAACTCTGAGGATCCCACAGACAGCAAGACTGAGCATCCTCCAACATGAAGCTTACCTCAAATAGGCAGCATTGACCATGATTACTACGTGTTTTTCAGGCTAATTAATCACCCCTTACCCCCTTCAAAAAACCTTTCAGAGCCTCTAAGATAGACAGGCATCCACTAAACAATCATAGTCCATCCATAAACTAAACCAAAATATAATTTCCTAATGTAGTGGTTAATGATGTTCCAAAACACCATCTTACATAAGCTCAATAAATTATTTATTTGCCAGTGAGTGGACTTTAGCTAAAACATTTTTAATAGTGGTTTTTAAACTTTAGTCTAACTAAAAAGCTAAAGAATCAGAATATCTAGGCATGTTTCCTCGGAACCAGCATATTTAATAAACTGTCTAGATGATATTAAAACAGCCCATGTATTGAAAACCACTAATACACAGCCCAGTCTTTTCCCTTTGGGTGTCTGCTATTTAGATTGCCTAGAAGTAAATACAAAATGCCATTAAGTTTCTTGTACCACTTTATGGATTGATGGATGGATTGATTGATTGAGTGGCTGGTGGGAAAAGAGTGAGTCTTAATTATGTGATTGTAGATTTCAGACTTTTTAAAATATAAATGTGCTTACAATTCATCCGGGAATATTATTAAAATGAAGCTTCTGATTCAATAGGTCTGTGGTGGGGGATGAGATTCTGCATTTCTAAGAAGCTCTCAGAGAAAGGTGGTGGCAGGCCCGGGACCACACTCTGAGTAGCAAGGGTCAAGTGTCCAATTTCACTTTGGCTGCTTTAGCACAGGCCATATTTATTTTCTAAATAAATTCAAAGCCTTAAACTACACTTCAGGTATTCCTTACAAGGGCTTTAAACTGTACCCATTTTAAATATAATTTGAAAAAAAAAATTCTGTGCTACATATTTTTCTCATTAATGTTAATGAAATATTTTAAGCTTTTAAAATTAGAAGCAGCTTTGCAAGAAGGAGTGAAAACTTCATAACGTGGTGAGGAGGGGGGGTTGTTGTTTGTTTTTAAGGAGAAAGTTTGTATATTTACCATACTGCTCAGGATGGAGGGAAGCTCCAAATGTGTGGTCTGGGGGAACGTTCATTGTTTCTGCAATGCTATCAAAGAAAACAAATCCTTTAGTTAAAATACCCACCACATGGCATCCCCGGAATTTAAAATATGTTTGCCATATGTTCTTTGTGCCCTAAATTTTCTCTTATAGCCAAACTGATGAAGATCAAACAGAAGTTCCCCACACATCTTTTGTGTGATCTTCCACTTGCATTAACAAGGGCTGAACGCTTTCACTGCCTTTCAGTAGCTGAGGTTTACAAATGAAAAAACCACATTCAAAGCAAAATTACTGAAGTCTAAAGAAAGAGCAAGACAGACAGAGACTGGAAAGACAGAGAAAAACGTTAAGCACGGTAAGCTGAATTTCTGATATCCCAGAATTAAAACTTCATGCAAAATTCTCCCTCCCTCTTCTCCAAATGCCTTCTCTGTCCTGGAGAACACGTCGCCTTTCTGGAACCTCAAGCTCTACAGACACGAATAGAGCTCTGCTGATTAACAACAATAGAATGTTTTTCTTATTTAATAGAATCTAATAGAACATAAACCATCAATTACCACAAGAGTGCTTATTTATTTATTTTTGAGACAGACTCTCACTATGTCGCCCTTGGCAAAGTGCCGTAGCATCACAGCTCACAGCAACCTCAAACTCTCGGGCTTAAGCTATTCTCTTGCCTCAAGTCTGTCTGGGCAAGTCCCTAGCTGGGACTAAAACAATGCCTGGCTATTTTTGGTTGGGGTTGTCATGGTTGTTTAGCAGGTCCAGGCTGGGCTTGAACCCTCCAGCCTCAGTGTATGTGGCCGGCACCCTATTCACTGAGCTGTGGGTGCTGAGCCAAGAGTACTTTTTTAATCTGATAAAAAGATGGTATCAGTTTAAAGTTAATCATTGACTTACGGATCTAAAACTCTTCCAAGTTTATGTTGAAACTTTTCTTTGAAATCATCAATTCTCTTAGATATCACCTTAGCTCTTTTTTTCCTGGAAAATAAGAAGATTCTCAGGTGTCTCTATTTTTGGCTGCCAGAAATACATGTGGTAAGGAATATCATATCATTCAAACTTCAAAGAACGAATCTGTTTCATTAAGAAATTCAATGCCAAAAAGAACCTTTACATGTTCATTTTTCCATAACTCATGCTCTATAATATAAATAAATTAATGACTAAAGTAAACAAACTAAAATATTGCTGGTAAATAAAACAAAGTATTTTTTTTTTTTTGAGACAGAGCCTCAAGCTGAGCCCCTGGGTAGAGTGCCATGGCTTCACTGCTCACAGCAACCTCCAACTCCTGGGCTCAAGCGAGTCTCCTTCCTCAGCCTCCCAAGTAGCTGGGACCACAGGCGCCTGCCACAACGCCCAGCTATTTTTTGGTTGCAGCCATTATTGTTGTTTGGTGGGTCCAGGCTGGATTCGAACCCGCCACCTTAGGTGTATGTGGCTGGCGCCTTAGCCGCTTGAGCCACAGGCACCGAGCCAAAACAAAGTATTAATATCACTATTATAACTTCTAAAATTTCTAAAAGAAAATAAAGCAGCTGATAAATAACCAAAAGATGTACACAAAAACATTTAATAAGTAAATATATGGAGAAATTATAATAGTCTCTAGTAATAAATTGTAAAAATAAAAGAATAACAAAATGCCACTTCTAACCTAGTAAACAAGCAAATCTGTGGAATGTGTGTGTGTATGTGTGTGTGTATATTGAAAAAGAGAATATCTAAATTGGCAAAAAATAGGGTGAAACACTTCTAGACTGCTAGTACAAATTCAATAATTTTAGAAATAATTGGACAATATGAATTGAAAGCACAACAATATGTATGCCCTTTTATACATATTTGTGAACCAATAATGAAATAATCTACATAACAATTAAAAATGTGAAAAAGTTGCTGTGTTTAGTGGCTCACACCTGTTATCCTAGCAGTATGGGAGGCTAAGGTGGGTGGATTGCCTGAGCTCAGAGGTTCGAGACCAACCAGAACCAGAGAGAGACCCCTGTCTCTAAAAATAGCCGGGCATTGTGGCAGGCACCTGTAGTCCCAGCTACGTGGGAGGCTGAGGCAAGAGAATTGCTAGAGCCCAAGAGTTTGAGGTTGCTGTGAGCTCTGATGCGACGGCATTCTACCAAGGGCAACAAAGTCAGACTCTGTCTTTAAAAAAAAAATGTGAAAAAGTTATAAGTGTAAAAATGTTTGTAGCCTCCTTGATATAATGAAAAAAAGAATCAAAATGTTTAATTGTGGGGGTGACAGAATTATGTCACATTGACACGAATACCCTCCGCATGCATTTTTGATGTTGGTTATGAAGAATACACAGCAACATACAATTACTGTATGTTAGTTGAAAAAGCAGAATATGAGATTACACTGTGGTGAAAACTGTGCAAAAATCTACATGGAGGAAGCCACACTGGGAGGAAATATGTTAAAATGATAATAATGATTGAGTTAAAGTGATAGAATTATGAATGATTTTATTTTGCCAATTTTTCTGTAATATAATTTTGTTACTTCTGTATTGTGATCAAATCAGTAAAATTTCTTTTGAAAAGTAAAATCACAACACTACTATTTAATAACATTAAAATTAAATTCTCCATTGTTTTGCTAAGACTAAAAACAATGAACATTAAGTTCTTAAATTCTATTTGCTTCTTAAAGTATTTCTTGTGCTATTGAACTGCTGAGCAATTGAAAAAAATTCTGGAGAAGAGTGACACTCTGTGGAGAAACAAACGAAGAAATATAAGTAATTCATCTCATTTTTTCATTTCCTTACCATTTGTTAGAGAGACAAAAAAAGAGCGTGGGTAAAGTCAGAATAAATCAATGGCGGTTTACGGGCCATAACTTGAATGGACATGACGATCTAAGATTCAGCTGCAAAGTGCATAATTCGGAACATGCAGGGATGGTAAGAATAAAGATTGTAAGGCACAGAGCCAACTCTAAAAGCGCCTGGATTATGCTTCTGGAAGACTCAGGATGTATCTGTGGGTCATCGCGTATATCAGAAAATTAATAGCTGCATTTGTAACTTTCATCATGCAACCTCACAGCATTCACTAACCAAGCCAGATGAAGCTCTTTGTCTGCTGGTGAATTCATTCATTTGTGCAAACACACACACATGCATTCACATACACATGCCTACCATCTGATGACGCAAAGTGACTATCAAACCAAACATCATAAGTAAAATATAGATAGAAACAATTTTGTAGAGGAAAACCTAAAAGTTGAGACTAAACCAAATTTACATTAAATAGTGCACATATAGATGCTTTAAAATGTAAACAAACCTGCTTGACTCCAAGTTTATAACAGAAATCACACAGAAGAATGAAGTAGGCAGTTCTTTTTTTAACTCTGACAAACCAAAGAAATAAAGAATTCCTCTACTACTTTAGCAGTAATATTCCAATTAAGTTTCAAAATAGATGAGGCAGTGCCTGTGGCTCAAAGGAGTAGGGCACCAGCCCCATATGTCAGAGGTGGTGGGTTCAAACCCAGCCCCAGCCAAAAACTGCAAAAAAAAAAAGAAGAAAAGAAAAAAAAAAGTTTCAAAATAGAACAAGTATGCTCAAATAAACATTGTTCTATAAACCTTGTTTCCTTGAGGGTAGACAATTTAAAGGAAAACATGTACTGAATATTGCCTGCCCTTACAGATTTAGGGTATTTTTCTATGAGCACCCCCAAATCATTGATATTGGTTCTGCTCTTAGGATGTTCTTGAGGACCACACTGTTGATAACGTGTTTATTTCTTTTTTTGTTTTGTTTTGTTTTTTGTTTTGAGACAGAGTCTCACTCAGTCACCCTGGAGTTGAGTGCGTAGCCTCATAGCTTACAGCAACCTTAAACTCTGAGGCTCAAATGATTCTTTTGCCTCAGCCTCCAGAGAAGCTGGGACTACAGGTGCCCACCACAACGCCTGGCTATTTGTAGAAATGGGGTCTTGTTCTTGCTCAGGCTGGTCTCAAACTTCTAAGCTCAAGCAATCCACCCATCTCGGCCTCCCAGAGGGCTGGGATTACAGGCGTAGGCCCCTGCACCAGTCTTAAGGTGTTTATTTCATCTTTCGTAAATTGACAGCAAATTTATATTTCCAATCTTTCAAAAATGGATAAGCCTTATCTTTCATCCCCCGTTAAGTATCAATTTGTGTATTAGGGGACTGTAGAGAACATTTGAAGGGCATTGGAGAGTGAGGGGAAATGTACGTATGTTATTTAATTATAAATCTCTGTAGTCCTTAAATAGTTAAATCATATCTTCATGCTTTCTCCTTTATGGATGGTTTCATCATTTACATAATGATAAATTAAGAAATGTTTGTTATATGAGTGCTTCTTCCATACCCTAAATAAAAGCTATCCCATGCAGGGTTACTATAATATAATAAGAATTTCTTCTGTGTGTCTACTTTACCATCGTTAAGACTCTTATGCCACATGAGGAAAGGTATGCCTAGTAGGGCCACAGACAACCTTTCAAAGGGAACTTTGCAGAGGACACCTGTATTTACAGTCTCCTGATATTTTAAGCATTATAAGAAATCTAAGTTTTCATGAACAATCTCTCCATGTTTAAGGGTTAGCTTAAATATCTAACACAGAAAACGAAAACCTAAAGACCCCACTTTAATTTCCTAGGAAAGCAGTTATATATAGAATGAAAACATGAAAAGGTCACAATTTGCAGAAGTTGAGTTAGATGCTCAGGTGCCCAAATAACTATAAAACGAAGCTGAATAATAAATGTCAGGTCAATTATAACCATCTTGGTAGACATTTAAAAACCTAGAATGTTAAAGAAACATATATAGAGTTGATCCCACAGACGTAAAACATGCATACATGTCTTTATATTCACTCGTAACTTCACGGTGATTAACAGTAAAAAACAGTAGCATGCTTCCCTCTGGGGGAACTGGACAGAATGGCTGTCAGAAGCAGAAGACATTTCATTCTATATTCTTGCTATTAATTTTATGTTTGAACCACATCAATGTATTGACCTCTTTAAAAAATAAACTTTAAGGCCAAATGTCAAATATCTAAACACTTGTTCCTAGACACAGTAAAATTAGACTTACATTTGCGATTCATGAAGCCAACATATAGTTTTTGCCATGGTTCGTCCATCATTGAAATGTGGTGTTGGGACTCCATATAAATTAAACCTATGGAAAGTTGATGGGTTGTACTTTCTGTTCTTTGCTTCTCCTGTGGGGGAAGAAAAAAGGAAAACATCTGAGCTAAGTAACACAAATAGCCTTATCTTTCAAAAAAGCACATTACGTTCTCATCAACAGTGAAAATGAAAGTGAGACAAAGAATGAAATCGTAGCAGTGTGGGACTTGCACAGTTTCGGCTACAGAGGACACATATTCACATATATAAATGTGCAAATAGAAACATCTATGAAAGCATCATCTGTAGGAGACTGAAAATTGTGGGAGTCTTTGCATATTAAACATTTTCTATTTAATTTATATTTTATAAAAGATATATCCATCACTTCAGTAATTATTAAAAATAACTATGTTTTAAAGATATTGTAGGTCTACATTTATTATTATCGAATGGTGTCCTGGATATATTATTATAAGTAAAAAACTACTATGTATATAGCAAGTTTCCCTAAAGCATGGAGATTATTATCCTACTTATTTAAAGATGAATGGCTTAATGCATAGGGGTTAGAAAAAAATGTTCGATGTATCAACTGTTGTTATAGATGGTCAATAGGATTTGAAGGTTACATTTATTTTTTTCTTTGTTAATGATACTTAAATTTCCCACAAGTATTACGTATTATGTATTTTTATAATAAAAATAAAGGTAATTTCTCTATAAGAAAAAATAAACAAAATATTAAAAAGATTAGATTCTATGACTTTTCCAGAGCCTAATGAAACATCCACAGAAACCAGCAAATTTTCATCTCAGGAAGGAGAGGGGAAACAAACAGTAAACAAGGTAATTTCAGTCATGTTGTGGTCCATTAGAGAGCTCTTCTAAATATATAAGTATTTATGTAATAAATTTGTGACATAAATTATTATTATTTAATAAAAAAGAAATTCTTTTATTTAATAAAGAAAAGAAATTACACTAATTTTCCTCAGACTGCAAAATGCTTATAAGGTATCTCATGAGGGGTGGTCTATACAGTACCTACATCTATCAACACAGTTCTTTTTAAAACAATTAAAAGGCACTGGATGCTAAACTTTTTCAAAACATGAACACAATATTTTCACAACAGAAGGAAGGAGGTAGGGAAGGAAGAAGGAACAAAGGGAGAGAAGGTGAAAGGAAGGAAAGAGGGAGGGGTCTAGGGAAGTAGAAGGGGTAAAGTTAAGGAGAAAAGTCAAGGTTGTGAGAAGGAATATGGTGCTGGAGTTCAGTGACAGTCTGAACAGAGGATGAAGACAATCTCAGGACAGGGAACACACAGGGAGTGTGGGGAACCAGCAGAGACTAGCTGTGGAAGGAGAAAATGGCAGAGCAGACAGGGAAGTAAGGAGAGTAGGAGACAAGCCCCAGATGTGAACACGGGAGGAAGGATGCTCCACAGTGAAGGAGAAGAGGTAAAGAAATAAGAAGGACACAGCGACAAAGAGGGAGGGTCGCGCTGCAGTGAAGGGCAGCTCCTTCTTCTGGCTACTGCAGATTCAGTCCACGAATAGTGCACAGTCTGTGGGCTTTCTCAGGATCAGAATTAGATCAGAACCTAATTCTCAATCCTTGACTGTATCAAGACTCTACTTAGCCTCAGCATATTGGCAATTAGGTTGTAATTTTCAGCACTATAAACACTAATGCCTTTTAGTTGTGCTGTAGAATAATCTAGTAACATGCTACTAGTAGACAAGATCACTTAAGAATAACAATAGCTAATTGTTATGAACAATTAGAATGTTCCAAGCACTACATTAAGCATTTTTTAATGCATTCAATCTTCAAAATATTACTAAACCCATTTACGAGATAAGAATAGAGGGTGGCGCCTGCAACTTAATGAGTAGGGCACTGGCCCCATATACCAAGGGTAGCGGGTTTGAACCTGGCCCCAACCAAACTGCAACAACAAAAAAAAGATAGAGAAAGAGATAAGAATAGATTAGTAAATTGTGTTTGAACCACAGCTATCAGATTCACAAATGTGTGCACTTCACCATCACCCAGTGTTTTTCATACAAATCTAAGCACTTAACAGTGGTTCTCAATCTTCCCAATGCCACGACCCTTTAATATAGTTTGTCATGTTGTGGTGACTCCCAACCATAAAATTATTTTCGTTGCTACTTTATAACTGTAATTTTGCTACTGTTATGAATCGTAATGTAAATATCTGATATGCAGGATATATTTAGGCGACCCCTATGAAAGGTCCTTTGACCCAAAGGGGTCACAACCCACAGGTTGAGAACCACTGACTTAAAATAAGCCTGACATTTGAATAAGAATAGTAATTTTTAAACCTAAAATCACTAAGGTAAAATAAGACTACATAACAGTTCGCCTTTGTTAGCTGCTTTTTCACTTTAATGATACATATGTTTCTATATTTTATATACAAATGCATAAGTGTATATGTTCCCAGCTACCAGGGACTAGGAATAATAGTAAATTACCATTAATTTTGGTCACCTGTTACATGCCAGACAAGTAACTTCATGCACATTATCTTCTTTATTCCCCTTCACAAACCTGAGAGTCCCCATCCTCAGGCCCATTTTGCGCGGGAGGACACTTACCCACATAATAATCATTGTGAGAAACAACATACAAATCATGTCCTTCCTTTCCTTCTTTAAATACTTCTTCAAAGGCTTTTGGTGGATTCACCACTTCTTTGGCCGACAGTTCTGAAGGAAGAATTAATAAAATATGTTTTAAGGTATTTTTTTCATCTATTTATAATGTATTTAGATTGACTAGAACAAATGACAAATGCTGATTGCATAAGCTACATAGGCATCCCGGGCAATCACAAAGCCAACACAAATGAAGATGTATGAAGAAAGACAAAACATAGTCTAGGTGTCACCTTATTGGGGAATCTCACTTGACCCGGCTCACTCCTCAGAATTCTTAAGGATATTAGAACTCTCTATCAGTTAACTGCTTAGTTGTCAGGAGCCATGTTCCAAGCCCAGTGAAATTCCTGATCCTGAGAATGTCTACACATAAGAGCATATCCAAACTTTTGCTTTTCTGTGCCACACTGGTTAGAAGAACAGTTATCTTGGGCTGCACATGAAATACACAAGCACTAACATAAGCTGATGAGCAAAAAAAAAAAAAAACAGGTCCATACATAATTTTCATGATTTCCAACACTACAGATAAACAAAAAAGTCCTCATCACATAATCCATATGGTGCAAGTTAGACATTCCTACATGCTTGTGCCAACTTCCTGAGATGACCTAAGCAAATCTGAATAAGGAATTGGGATGGAGGTTCAAATCTGAACCTGTGATGGTGTCGCCATGGTGCAAATTTTGTCAAGTGTAGACTGAACCATACACCTTGGGTCTGTTTTCTTCTCAATCTTAATTCTCAATGTAGGCAGAGACACCAAGGAAATCAACAGGATCAGGAAGAATTCTTCTTTCTATTGGTTTTAAACCTAGATAAGATGTTTGTTTAACAGCTACTTTCCCACAGGCTCGGCACCTGTGGCTCAAGTGGCTAAGGAGCCAGCCACATACACCTAAGGTGGCGGGTTCAAATCTAGCCTGGGCCCACCAAACAACAATGGCTGCAACCAAAAAATAGCCAGGCATTTTGGCAGGCACCTGTGGTCCCAGCTACTTGGGAGGCTGAGGCAGGAGATTTGCTTGAGCCCGGAGTTGGAGGTTGCTGTGAGCTGT